TCCATGGATAGTGGGCGCGGTCATCTGGTTAATGACCGGTAGGCCATGTTTACCGGGCTCGTCGGTGATGTATATCGGGCCACCTGAGAGGCATCGCGCAGCTGCATGGAACGAAGCATAGGGATGGCACGTCTGGAACATGTCCCAGTCCGGCAGGACGTTGAGGTACCGTGTCAAGAGGGCATTGTGTGCGTTGCAAAATACATGCCATGTGTGAGATGCTGGGATCTCCGGGAAGAAGTCATCCGAGTTGCGCAAAGCGATCTGAGGCTTGTTCGTTGGGAGCTGGGAGTGAAAGATGGCTTGGGGGATCATGGACATGCACGAGATTGCCCTTGTACTGAAGTGACTTAGGGAGGATATGGACCATGCGTCCTGGTAAGCGTTCATAAACCGTCTGCGGTCCGCCGGGTCTTTCAGCAGATCAAGGAAGAACTGGGCGTCTGTTTTGACCGAATCAACACCAACAGATGTTAAAAAGCTGTAGAAATCATCATAAAAGCGCTGAATATCTTCAGGGTCAATGGCCAGCAATGACCCCTTCTCAAAGGCGTGCGCACCGGGCCCTCCTGTGGCCGGATCCGTAATCTGCACCTCTTTGGTCTTGTACGCTCGGGCAAGATCCCCGTTGGGCGAAATTCCACCCCAGTATCCAAAGAGGGCATGCCAGACCGCGATATGCTGGATATTCCGATGCTTCTGGCGGATGGTCTCTATGCCCTGCTTAAATCCCTGCGGGAACGCTTTGGGATCTGCCTCAAACCGCGTCCACGCCCTCTTGAACTGTGACTGGCCTTCGTTGTCGAGAGCCTGCCAATTGTCATCTATAATCAGATTTTGAATTTTAATTCCCTGCTCCTTCAAGGAGTCAAGAGCGAAAATAATCTTTTCTTCGGTCAGGTTCTGCCCCAGCCCGTTCCAAGTACAGTAGCTTAGGCCGTCATACCATTCCGACATCCATTGCGCCTGAGGGTCCTTTTCCACCACCACAATATCATTGTCGACAGGCGAGACCGGGGTCGGTGATCGATCAGACAATACCTCCGTAGCGTACGGCCTGACCATTTTCCGAGCTTCGTATATGACAGCGCTCATTGCTACTTCGAAATCATCGGCGGTAGAAGCAAGAACCTGGAACTTGCTTGCTTCAGTGTGATCACTCTTAGCCTTAATCACGACTTCCCCTTTCTCGTTCGAGGCAAGCACAGTCAGGACATCACTGATCCCTGAGACCGCCAGAAGAACCAGATGGGAACCGTCAGTCCGCAGGAAGGAACATAATACGGCATCCTCTGTCAAGCTGAAATTCTTCTTTCCATGTCTAGGCCCAAGCCATGGAATCCATACCCTTACTAGGGCGAAATAACGGGCGATTGAGGATGGTTGGCCCAGAGCGACTCGCTTGAGGCCTGACTGACCCTCTTTGGCTGCTTCTACAGATCCCGAAAGGCTCCACAGAAGAGAAGCAGGAGCCTCACTCGTACGCGATTCGACATCGATCTCAGTCGACAGATTATCAAAGTACTTGCCAAACCCCTCTCTATCTGACGTTGTAGATGCATTTCCATATGTCATCGCAGAAGGACTAAACGACGGTGCCCGAGCGGGATCTGTAGCAACAGATGAAGAGACACCCGTATCAAACCGAGAATTTCGTGCCGCAAATACCAGCTCCCCGTCATTGATATGCCGTTGTTGGTTCACCCATTGCCATTCTGCCTCTGGAGTGGCTCGAAACCGAACGGTGAACTGCGCATAGCCCCCGGTATCAGGGAGAGCGATTTCCTCGGAGAAGACATAGCGACGGTACTTGTAATCTTCCTCGTCCCCGTTCATCAGAGGGGCTACAATGGGCTCACATTTCTTCAGCGGGAGTGCCGTCCATTCGGAGCTGGAGAGATTATGCCAAATCTGGGCCTCCCAAGGCTGCTCTGGGAATAAGCTGCTTGACTCAATTACCACGGTAAAGCGAAGCTATTGTTCATTAGCTTATTTGATTGGTTGTAGTAGAACGGATTAAGAGAGGCAGCTCTCCTCCAAGTATGAGATGGACACAAATCAATGGTAGAAAGCTCACCGTATCGTCCCTTTCCGACTGCAAGGCCTTTTGTACCCTTGGTATACCAGTGACCTGCCCCAGAGGCGGGTAGCACGTCACGCGCGCAAACAGACTCATTTGCGCGGGACGGTAGAAGTGAAGCTGTGATGGCATCTGATGGCGACCCGGGCCGATGATGGGCCGAGTCGATGTATTCCTTGTGCTGACCTGCATCTCAAAAGTAAACCGGGAGACGAGAGAATATAAAGTCCGGTATGGGGCTAAGAAGTGGATGGTGGAGAAACATTACTACTTTTGCAGTAGTACGGAGTAGTGTGAAGAGGACCCATTTTCACGACAAGTGCAAGGGCATGCTGGACGATCATGGCGTTATGATGCATGATGAGCTGTTGTGAGGCGGTGGCGTGTTGCGGGCAAGGTGAGGGGAAGATGCAGACTGCAGAGTGACGCCCCTCCAGCCTCTCATGGTTGGTGTTCGGGAGAAGTTATCTATCTGCAAATGTACCTCACTAGACAGTACAAGAAAGCTAATATATCTTCGCCTAGTGTCGATAAAGAATATATAAGGGAATTAGAACGTTGAAAAGGCTACCCAGGGATGATGGAGATGGCTTAGATAGCATCATACGTCGATTGGCATTAATCACGTCACTGTATAGATAGTGCAATGGCTACGGTAATATATATGCACCTGACAATCCATTCAAAGTTGTCGTATTCATCATTTAATAGCCTTCACATAGTCTGATACGCTCGCGTTTAAAAATCAATCTCAATTGCCAGCTTTCCGAGATGCTTTTGAGCCCACTATTGCTTGCCGTTAGCACCCCATTCTCAATAAACTTGAAGGGAAAGAAGACTCACCATGTATTCATAGGCTTCCTTGGTCTGGTCAAGACGGAAAACCTTCTCGTCGACGACCGGGTGGATGTTGTTCACCTCAATGGCCTTGATCATATCGTTCATCAAAGCCTTGCTTCCGACATATACGCCCCGAACGGTGCAGATGTGGTTGAGTGCTTCAAGCATGCCAGGCTGACCCTTGGGATCGACACCTCCTAGGAAACCAATGATGCTGATTATGCCCTCCAACTTGATGCACTTCAAGCTCTGACTAAGAGTTCCAGCGCCTCCCACTTCGATAATGTGATCGACACCGACTTTGTCAGGAGTCAAAGAGCGAGCAATTTCGCCCCAGTTGGGGTTCGTCTTGTAGTTGATGATATGGTCCGCTCCAAGATCCTTGAGCTTCTTGGTCTTCGCATCAGATGAGGTCGTAGCAATAACAGTAGCTCCAGCTGCTTTAGCGAACTATTCCAGAAATATTGTCAGCTTGTCGCATGTTCCTTGCTCAAGTATGCGGCCAACATCAGCTTGAAAGACGTACCTGCAGGGCAAACATGCTAACACCGCCCGTTCCTTGTACCAGAACAAACTCACCCGGCTTAAGAGCGTTCATGCCATACAGAGCATTCCAGCTGGTGAGAGCAGCGCAGGTAAGGGTACTCGACTCGAGGAAGTTCAGATTCCTGGGAGCCCTGACCAGGCCATTTTCGTTGAAAACACCGTATTGGCGCAGAGTACCATCAATAACACCACCGAGACCGGATTTGGTGCTCCGCGTATCGACAGGACCGTACTGGTGGAATTGATTGAACAAGGTCACCACCTTGTCGCCTTTCTTGAACTGGGTCACTTTCGATCCGACCTCGACGACCTCGCCGGCACCATCGGAACCGGGGACGACGGGGATATCGAGAGGGAAGGGGTACATCCCCTGACAGAACCATAAGTGTCAGCGACAAAAGATTGATTTGGTCATTGTATCTCTTGTGTAGATGAAATGACGCACCTTGGGGATGATCAGGTCACGATAGTTGAGCGACGCAGCGTGTAGCTTGACGAGGACCTCATTTTCACCACACTTGGGCACAGGAGCTTCCTTGAAATTAAGACTATCGAAACCGTTCTCCTTATCCACAACAACCCACTGCTTCATAGTTGATGGAGCCATTTTTCGTATGTAAGGTGTCGAGTCTTGGGCTGGTCAAGTGTCGCGATCGAAATCAAGCTGTTAGCTAGAAATGTACTGACCAGGGAGGCCCAAGAAGTTATTTTAACCCAAGCTCTCGACCTCCAGTTCTTGACGTAAGGGACCACCTGCTATGACGGCACATTGATAACTATCCGATGCGGGCCATCTTTAACGGTGCGGATGTCCGAAACATCTAGGTTTAGTGGATGAGCAAATCATAATGCTTGGGAGGATCATCGGTTCAATCTGCTTATAAATCCTGTCCATCTTTGTTCACTTTGCTGGAAATCTTTTGGGCAACGACTGCCGGGGTGTCTCCTAAGGTGGTGTTGATTTCTAGCTGCTCAATGGATTGAAAGTGGATGTGGATACCTTCAAACACCGAGTCACCGAATGGCCGGCAGTTGCACCTAAAGCGATATCTTTCTGATTATCCCGATTGATAATCATCAATGCTAGGGGATGAACTGTAGAACGGTGAATGTATATCCGTCTTCATGGTACTCTACCATTTGTCTAGCCATTTTTTCTGCGATGTACGACGAAGAGATGTCACGAAACTTGATTCATTCTAGAATTCTCTCTCCACTCTGGCAAATCCACGAACCGATAGTCAATTGTCGGGCCCGTTGTTTTGTTTTCAGAATCTGATAGAATTAATCTATCGCCCAGCAACGATGATTAAGGCCAGTATCAAGTACTGAGAGGACCACGCAGCTTGTATGGCTCGTACCAACGGCCGTACTTTCTCACGAATGTTACCCACCTTCAAGGACACTCACATTTTCCATATAGCTGCCCGGCTTGTAGGGGGGAAATCTATGTTTCGGAGACTGACTTTGCCAAGGAGCAGCTGCAGCCGGTCTTAAAGTATTCATCATGCGCGAGCACAGGGCAGGAGCGGCTTCAAGAAGTTCGTGAAAAGAGGGCTGAACTTGAAAGTTGATCGACAGTGTATGCCGCATAATGGGCCAGCCAGTCCAAGAGACTGTCGCTGGGCTGAATCTTGAGGGAGGCGACCCGCATGACAGAGATGACCTTACGATGTTGATCGAGAGTTTGCGGTCTGCTGATACCCACGAAGCATGCAGTGAGCCTTTCATAGGCCAACTGCTTCAGTTCCGAGCCGAGGTATACATCACTGAAAATATAAAGCCGGAGGTGAGCCAGCAGAGGATGACTGTCAAGCTCCACATCCGTGCTTTCGCTCACATTGGCGGCTGCTTCTGACGATGCATCAGCCTCGTCAGCATCATCAGAGACCTTGATTTTCTTCTGCACCAGATCCATGCTGATCACTGTTGGCAGGAAAACTTGCCAACATGCGCAATATACTCGAGACAGGTTGCCTTTCTTCCTCATTAGACATTTCTAGCGCGGCGTAAAGTCAAACACCAGTAGAGTAGGTGGGAAGTACCAGAGCAAGTGGATGAGCTCTAGCGCAGAGTGAGGCAGTTGATGTTCCCTGTCCTCTAATTAAAGCGGTCATTGGAAGTGAGGTGTTCCTGCTGGTTATCCATGAGACTTATGGAGAATAAACACTCATGTAGGTGGATTGTGTCTCAGTAATCAGGATAAAGACTGAAACAAGCCCAATGCCAGAAGTTTGCATTCTCTTGCTGGATGCCTGTAAGTGGCCCAAGTGAGAGAAGATGGTATCAAAGGAAAAGGATTTTCTTTCAGGGTATTATCATCGCACAGATGGGTAGAAACATTAGAGGACGAAGTGAAAGCTCTTTTATTGAGACCCATTGCTCAAAAATTTGTTGACGGAAGATGTCCTCATATAGAGTCCACGTAGTCTTCTCGCTAAGTGCGATCTACGTTGCATGAGGGGTAAATAGCCTGGCGCATCCCCTCACTAATCTGAAAACCAATACTTTTTCGTTCATCTCATCTCTGGGTGGCTACTTACATATCCTATCTTTCTTGAACTCAAGAACGATTCAATTATGTCTCTGGGGCGTAAATTCAGGCTCAATTCTGGGTATGAGATCCCTGCTGTCGGTCTAGGAACCTGGGTTAGTAGAGGTCAACGTTCGAGCTATATGAGTAGTACTGCTAATGAGCTGATAGCGATCAGCGCCTCGCGAGGTAGAAGATGCCGTTGCGACAGCTCTTCGCGTGGGATACCGCCATATCGACTGTGCTGCGGTCTATTTGAATGAAGCCGAAGTAGGACTGGGATGGAAGAAGTCCGGTGTTCCTCGCGAGGAGATATTTGTTGGTTCCAATCATAGTTCCCTCAATTGCATCTAACAAAATATCTCATTTTCCTCTGCAGTTAACGAGCAAGCTGTGGAATACGCACCATCATCCGAGCCATGTTGAAGAAGCGCTCGACAGGACACTCAGGGATCTACAGACGGATTATTTGGACTTGTACCTCGTATGTCCGTAACTCAATTACACACCTAACGTACCTCTACTGATGAATGAGAAGATCCACTGGCCCATATCATTCGCACATACAGCCGACACCTTCCAACCGGTTGACCCGGTCACAAAACGATTCCGTTTAGTGGACATTCCCATCGGCGATACTTGGGCAGTATTGGAGAAGCTAGTCAAGGCTGGCAAGATTCGAAGTCTTGGAGTCAGTAATTTCACCATTGAGAAGATGGAGGAACTACTTAAGACAGCAGAGATTCCTCCCGCGGTCAACCAGATCGAGGCTCATCCTTACCTCCTTCAGCCCAAGTTGTGTCGGTATCTGAAAGAGAATGTACGTCCCACTGATCTCCTACAATGGCATACAGACCTTGTTGACTATCTCCCAGAATATTTTACCTGTTGCCTATAGCCCTCTTGGCAACAATATCTTCGGTGCTCCTCGGTATACTAAATCCTCATACCACCGCTGACGAAGTGAACTAACTGTCAAACAGTGTCGTCGATGACCCCATCGTGATCGAAATAGCGAAAAGACTGGGCAAAGATCCTGCAGGATTGCTGATCTCTTGGGCTGTCCAGCGTGGTTTCTCGGTTATTCCAAAGAGTGTCACCGCAGCTCGGATCGAGAGCAACTTTCAAGGTAGCTATTCAACCCGGCCCTCAGTGTTCGAACCTCCTTGACTGACCAGCACGTCTCCGTCAGACTTTGTCATTCCTGATGCGGAATTCGAAGCTCTCAACAAACTCGACCGCCATCAGCGATATAGCTATCCGTTCCGCTGGGGTGTGGATGTGTTTGGAGAATTGGGTGCTGAGGAAGCCGAGAGACGTGCAGAGGAGCATGCAGCGACGCTCAGGGAGAGTGAGAGCACATGATTCTCGTCGCGGTTAAATGTCCTATAGACGCTGAGTGGCATATATATAACGATCTACACACTAATTTGATGGGTTTGGTGCTGGGTGCTTAATTCTTAAGATGGGAATGAGTCGGTTGATTCTTGTAATGGATATGTCCAAGCGCGTGCAGAAGTCCATCTTTAACCACCGTACAGGGGAAACACTAAACTCGGCAGACTGTGTCATGGCTACCTGAAACCATGGTGCCGTGATCGAGCACATGAAGAAGCAGAATTCCACCAACCGAGAAAGAAGTCGTGGACACCTGCATACCTGACAAATACTGCGCGATTCGCATGAAGCTGATCCAGTGACCACAGCAATTACTATCGACTGATTATGAAAAGCAAGGAATGGAAACAAATTCCATCCTGGCTCGACTTGGGTGTCTGTGAGATATGGAACCTTCGTGATGGGATTTTTCGGGGGGTGATCACAATTCTGCGCTCTGCATAGCGATTGGTTCGAATATCTAGTTCTGTAACTCTTCCTGCTTGCCGGGCTCTATTTTCGAACCTATATTCAATAACGACGCTGGCTTCTCGTACTTGCGAAGTGCATGAAGGACGAGATGCTTGCTGATATTTCCACACAGCTGTCCCGACTGGATCCCCTCAGTCTGGCTGGGGTGCTTGTTATCTCAAGTTACTTTTCCCATTGACTCTTCCTCGGAGGTCGGTGATCCCTATGGTTAATGAAAAAATGCATGTCGAGATTCGGTCCTTGCAGTTTCAGAAGGGGTTCTTGCAAGATGCGCACAACTTAATCAGATCTGTTCTAGCAAGGTAACTTCCCCCTTGCAGTTGATGCTGGATTCAAGAACTAAGTCCCTCGAGGGCCCCGTCTTCCACATTCAGTCGGACAATGGAATCAAGACTGTGCTTACACCCGAGTACGCAAACGAGATTCGTGCTCACGATGCCTCGAGATTTGGCCGGGCCTTTACGCTAGAGTTCCATTCAGATATTCACGGATTCGAGCCGTTCAATCAACTAGCCAGCAGCGATGAGATCTTCTAAGAGGCTATCCAAATGAAGCCGACCCAGAACCTGGGTAAGTTTTAGGATCTCGAAATAACGCTCACGTCATGTACAATCTTCTGATTTCTTGATTGTCAAACAGGAAATGTGACAAAGCCCCTATCAGATGAGACATTGATTGTCCTTGAAAAGCAATAGTCCAACAACGCCAGTGAGTTATTATCTCTCCGTCTGTTTCACCAGTACTGATCAAGTCAGACAGGCATGAAGTGGATCTAAAGCCGACCATTCTTCAAATGGTTGCAGAGCTCTCATCAAAAGTCTTCCTTAGGGACAAGATTTGTCGTAACCCAGACTGGCTGCGTATCTCTGTCGATTATACCGTGGAGACCTTCCTAGCTGCTGAGGTTCTCCGGCTCTGGTCAGGTTGATACACCGCATTGTGGCCAACTTCCTGCCATCCTGCCGTAAAATGCGCCAGGAACTAAAGGAAGCGACGGAAATCATAACCCCGGTGCTGGAAGAAAGACGGAGGGACCTAGAAGCTGCCAGGAACGCCAATCAGCCACCAAATCGCTATGATGATGCTATGCAGTGGATGGAGAAATGTGCCAAAAGTCGGCCCTATCTCCCTGCGGATGCGCAAATGGCCTTCTCATTGGTTGCCATCCATAGGACGTCAAACATGCTCACGCAGGTCCTCCTTGACCTTTGTGGCCATGAGGATGTTATCCAGCGCTTCACAAGGAAGTTGTGGCGGTCATCCAGGAAGCAGGAAGAAGACCGCATTACATAAAGCTCAAATTTATGGACAGTGTGCTGAAGGAAAGTCAACGTTTGAAGCCGATCAACACCGGTGAGTATTTCTATCCCCTGTCAAGTGTCTATATCTCGTGATACTAGAAAAGACTGACTGCGCCAAGGTTCAATGAGATGTCTCGCGCTCGAGGACGTCGTATTGTCCGATGGTACACTCATCCCAAGGGCTCCTCCATTTTCGTCTCTAGCCACAAAAAGTGGGATCCAGCTGTTTGCCCAAACCCGGGGACTTTCGATCCCTATCGAATTCTGAGACAGACTACGCGAGGCTCCTGGTCATGAGACTTAGGCCCCAGCTAGTGTCGTTGTCTCCAGAGCATCTCGAATTCGGCTATGGGAAGCACGTTTGTCCAGGAAGGGTTTTCCCTGCCAACGGGTCAAGATCGCCTTGTACCATATACTATTAAAGTATGATTCCAAACTGGCTGATGGCTATACACCGACGGTGCGAAGAGGGGCATCTCGCTCAGCGCTGATCCTCGTCATCAGACAGCGACAAGAAGAAATTGCTCTTAAAAGTAAAACTGCGCTTTTATTAACATGCCACTACCAATTTGTGTTTTGCTATTTGTGTGCAATAAGATGCACTGCATATATCGTAAGCCTCTGAATATGAACTATCTCTTCTTGTAACACGCCAGTCGACAAATCGAAGGGGTCCAATATTGATAAGCCCAGCGTAAAAAAAAGAGTGCTATGATAAAGACTCAGCTCAATGTGTTGGCTCCATTTGAAAAGGCCAATATTCGCTGGAAGAATATTTAATCTTGCCAGTTACAATGAAATAGGCTGGGGGAATAAGGGGAATAATTGGACTTAGGCCAAAGAAAGCATTCAATAAAAGTCCGATTGCAGGAGAGAAAAAGGGAAGTGACTCGAGCGTCAAACACCAACTGGCGAACATAAACACCAATGACAAAGTGAAAATCGGCATAAGACAGCCAAACAAACCCCCCAAAACTACTTGATCACCAGAAAAAGTCACCATATATTTATGAAACTTGTTATCAGGAACTCTATTATAAATAGATTTGAGAGAACCGGTGATCACAATGCCAGCCGTCAAAAAAGGCAGAGTGACAAAATCCAAGACTAAACAGTCATCACGACGAAAATCCACTCAACGTAGCTTGACAGGAAAGGCAATCGATGATCAGAATAAAGGTGAGTGACTCGCCGAGCTGTGCTTATCGACATGTCTATGGATGTGCATAGCTGTGGTCCTGGATGAACGCAGAATGCTGGATTCATCATGGTTTTGTCTGCCCCTTCTGTTGTGTCGTGACGGGCCCAACTCCCTTCACTCAAAATACACGCCATACTCTTCGCTCAAATTTTATCTGAAAGATTCTGGACTTAAAAGATACGACTGAATCAAGACCCGTATTGACGCATTTGCAGATCCCAAGTCACTACCTCTGGTAGAGCGCACCAACAGTCTACCAATCGAACAATTCACCTCGCTATATATCGACCCAAAGCTCCTTGATTACGATTTACTATGGTGTCCAAAGGGGAAATACAACTCACATGACGGCGATAAGCCTCACATCAAAGTGGACTGCACCGTTGACGTCTACTCATCCAGTACGATTCCCAAAGAGGAATTCGATGTGTGTTTCAATCTCGTCGAGCAAACATCGGCAGATGCTTACAGGGCGTCCAGCTCGGGATGGTCTGCGGCTCGTAAGCGAAAGGAGATGCGATTGCCTGATATGAAATACCTTATTCAGCGACGCAGCCGGTCAGGTTCACCTGAAGTGACCATCGCGGACGGCATATCCTTCCAGAGGGGAGAGATACTTGCGTTCCTTTCGTTTATGGTCACGTACGAGGATGGCAAGGAAGTAATCTACTGTTATGAGGTGCACGTGGCGCCAAAGGCTCAGGGCCTGGGAATTGGAATGCATCTGATGATGCTGTTGCGATCAATCGGGCTAAAAATTGGCCTGGAGAAGGGTATGTTGACCTGCTTTCGGTCTAACCATCGGGCACTGCGGTTTTACAAGTCAATCGGTTACAAGGTGGATGAGAACTCTCCCAGGTCGATTCATCTGCGGACAGGAGAGGTGGAGCCTGACTACTATATCATGTCCGAATCTCTGAGGCAGAAGTCGACACATGAGAATGACGATGGTTAAGAATTCCTTTCGGGAATTCGATATTGAAAGGTCTATAGTACCCCGATCTAGACCTGCCTAACATCTTTGCCCCGCATTTCTGGATTCTCCTGCTCCCACTCGTCTCTCAGAGCAGCAAAGATTGTGTCTGCCAAGAGGATGGAGAGTCCCAGACTCCACACTAGTGTGATCGCATAGAAGAAGTTGGCATTGCCAGATCCAGCGTAAATCCATAAGTAGTAGAACGCTGGGCCCAGGAGGGTGGCGTACAGAAGAGCGGAAATGGCAAAGAAGGTGTAGCGCATCACTGTTTGTGGTTAGCAGAAGCAAACCGCCAGAGGGGGCACTCCCAGAACTTACATGGGAACAAATGCCGATAGAGAGGAAGAAGCGCAAAGTACAAGGAGGCATCCGAAATACTAGGATACGGCTTGAAGATGGCGAAGATGCCCATAAGGGAAGTCAGGACAAAAAGAGGCTGCTTGCGCAATCGAACGGTGAGACCACCGACATAGCCCGTTAGGTGGAGCCAGAAGACGCCAAGGAAGAACTCTCTGAAGGAATCAAAGATTTCGATGAAGAAATACCACCAGAGGCCAATGTTAGGTGTCAGGTCAGGGACAAGCAATTGGAAACCGTATGTTGCAGAGATAAACTGCCGAAAGTCTGGGACGACTAAGTAAGACAGGCCTAGAAGCCCCGCGACGCCCAGCAAAAGTATGCCAAAGTGCTGAATGGAGAAGACTGCAACTCCAGATGGAGGCTTCGCGCTTTGAGCACGTCGATCGTAACACAAAAGAACAAGCGGGACAAACAGAAGGGCCGGGTAGATTGACAAATATGACGCGCATCCTAGAGCGAGCATGGCATTGAAGCTATTCCCAGTGACGGCATTGGACAGAGCATAAAGGATTGCGGTCGACGTAAAGGCGCTTGTGGATCGGCCCAGACAGGCGGCGATGGTGAAGGGGTTGAAAAGGTACCTGTTATCCGTCAGGAGCGTAGCCATGCAGGAACTCGACGATTGTAACTACCATGCTGCCACATCTACCCCACCCCACTTGATATCCTTTCGCAACGCTGTATACAATCTTCCCGATATCGCCTGTTTGGAGTCGGATATGGTAACCAAGGCATTTGCATTAACGAGGTCAATCAGAGCGTAAAAGACCGCCGTCGCTAACGGACAGTCTCTAGCATTCGGTAGTAGGGCGAATATAGGGAGAAGAAGCGGTGCCTAACCCATGGTATCGCGACTTAGTAAAGACCAAAGAGAGCAGATCCGGACTCCATACCTGATGGAAGACGCCTCCGTCGTAAGGGGAAACATTCCGAGTGTAAAGAAAGAGGCCTTCTTGAACTGAAGATAGATATGTCAGCTCGAGCGTTACAGGAACAAAGGAAACATGCTCGTGTAGAACTCACGTCTTTTGAAACTGTTCACTGGTGTAGAGACCTCGACTCTGCCCGTCAGCAGGTCCGGCAGTGAGGGGAACAGGAGCAGAAGGAGAAGTCGCAAGACGAAAGCACCGCCGAACACGGCAGCTTTCCGTCGATCGACCGGCATGATATGTTTAACACGGAATTGAAGATTGCAGCATAGCAATTATCAATAATTGACCATCACTATCTGGCTTTCAGTCGGTCTCACACAGTGGCTCCAGGCCCGTATGCTCCAGCTGTCCTTCGGCCTGGCGCGCGCCAAGACTCCGCGCATTACCCTTTTCCGCAGCGCACGGGCCAACTAAGCTTGTGATTGGAGAAAAAAAAAGAAAAAGAGGAAAAAAAGAGTTATCAAGAAATTTTTCTGGTTATCAAAAAAAAGTCTCCCCATCAACAACTTTTCGCTCAACAGCCGTACACCGCAAAGATGGGTAAATTAAAGAAGAAGGGTATGCTTATCGAACTATATTCTTTGCGCTTCTGAGTTTTAATTGACATCTTTTTCAGGTACCTCTGGTCAGGCCAAAAATTACATTACTAGAACTCAGGCAGTTCGCAAGCTTCAGATCTCTCTGCCTGACTTCCGTCGTCTTTGTATCTTCAAGGGTATGTTCAGAGCATCCGATCCTCCATATCTCCTCTATATGTGGCGGCGTCGATCCTAACCGGATTATCCCTGCGAATTAGGTATCTATCCTCGTGAACCTCGGAGCAAGAAGAAGGCCTCGAAAACATCGACCCCGAATACCACTTTCTACTATACCAAGGACATTCAATATCTTCTCCATGAACCCCTACTCAGGAAGTTCCGGGACCAGAAAGCCGTTGCGAAGAAGATTGCACGATCTCTTGGACGCGGAGAAGTCGGCGATGCAGCTCGGTTGGAGAAGAACCATGCCCCCAAGCTCACATTGGACCATGTCATCAAGGAGCGCTATCCCACTTTCATTGACGCCTTGAGAGATCTGGATGATGCTCTGTCACTTCTTTTCCTCTTTGCCAACCTCCCTTCAACCGCTCACGTTCCTCCTAAGACTATTGCCCTCTGCCAACGGCTTTGTCACGAATTTCAGCATTACTTGATCGCGACCAACTCTCTGCGCAAATCCTTCCTTTCGATCAAGGGTATCTACTATCAGGCTACCATCCAAGGACAGGACATTATGTGGCTGGTTCCTTACCGATTCGTGCAGCGCGTCAACGGCGACGTCGATTACCGTATCATGGCCACATTCGTTGACTTCTACACCACTCTGCTCGGATTCGTGAACTTCCGATTGTATTCGTCGATTGGCTTGAGATATCCCCCCAAGTTTGACACCAGAAGCGACGAAAATGGGGCGGAATTGGCGGCCTTTACCCTTGAGGGCCGTGGAGTCGGCGATGCCCCGAAGGCCATCGAGGCTGGTAACAC